GGGAGCTGCCGCTCCTGGGCTGCAATGCAGCGTGGCGCAGCCGGGGGGTGAGGATGGGGAAGGGACTTGCCAGGACCCCGGCCTGTCCCCACGGTGGAGCTAGGGGAGATACCTGCAGGGAGCCACAGACCACCTCTGCTTTTGGAGGACAAGGCTGAGCGCAGACCCCTTCGGGCAGCCCGCCGCCCTGCGCCTGCTGCTCAAGAAACACGTGAAAGCAAGTGTCACTAAAACAGTTTATTATATAAAGCCTTAGGAAACATACAGGAGGTGAGGTCTAGGACACTTCCTTCTAGAGACTGCTCCAAGCTCCTTAGAATAGTGAACACACAAACTCTGATTTGCCTGCATCAAAGCTTTCAAACGAGGGTTCAATGAGGATCTGAATACAGAATTAATAACTCTAACATGCATAACGTTCTCCGTTCGTAAGTGAATCCTGTGACGGGGGCTAGCCCCTTCATCCTGCGCTTTGGTTACAAAATGACAGATATTCACGACAAGAGAGTACAAAAGGAGAAAAAAACCCACAAGAGATGCATTCAGAAAAGCCTGCGGCTGTCTAAACAGGAAAGCAGGGTTGGCACAAGCACCCCAAGCACGCTAGAGCAAGGGGGACAGAGGCAAGGCAGGCATGAGCACCCAAAGGGGCCGTGGGGGCCCGGGGCCGGCTCAGCTGTGGGGCAAGGACAGCACAAGCCCTTGTGTGGGACCGGGAGGGTTCACCAGCCTGTGTGCTATTTTGCAGTTAGGGCCACAGCAGGGACTTGGGAGCTGCAAAGCTTCTCCCCAGGGGAGCCCAGCTGCCACCCTTGCCCGCTCATGCGGGAGGAGCGTGGCCAGGGAGCCTCTCCCGGTGCCGGGCAGGAACGCTCAGCCCCAGCAGGAGCAGGGTGGGGGGACGCCCCGGCCGACCTTCGGGGGCTCGCTGCGCCACAGAGCTCCTGCCTTCCTCCCTGCATCCGCCCCAGCGGCCGCCAAGCACAGCAGCAGCCTGCAGACAACTCCAGAACTAATGAAATGTCTTTGGTGATCTTTGTGTCACTGCCGGCTGGCCTCGGTAAGGCAGTCCCTATTCTGCAGTTCCCCATGAGAGGGAACGAGCAGGAATAAAAACCCTCAGTGCTCTAACAGCCTCCAAAACACCCTGCTCCGCTGTTTCGCTAGAAGTATCTCAGGCAGCATCACCAGCTCTAGCTCGGGTAGCTGCAAACACGGCCACATGTGCAAACAGCTACAAGGCAGCTTCAGGGCTGAACAGAACAGAGGCCGCCGTGGGGAGGTTGCGGCACAGGCAGGAGGATGGGAATGGGCCAGAAAGGTGGCAGGGCTAGAGTGCTCCATACTCACTGGCGGTTTGAGGTCCTTTTCCACATCTGAGTGAGAGCAATTCCGTGGAGACACGCAGAGCAAAGGGCCTGGGCCCACAAAGGGTGAGGTGGCTAGAGAAATGGGGAGTGGTTCCCATCTGGCATGATGCATGATATTCTTCTGACCGTGCTCCAGCCTGGTGTCCCCAGACTTCCCAAATGGGGCAGGGAGAACCTTTTGGGCCCAGGTCATGCAATGCCACAGGCTAAACCGCGCGTGCAGAAAAGGCCATGCTGCAAAGCCATCCACTACACAGGCTGACAAGGCCAAGCTGCACGGTCTAGGAGCTGCTGTCTTGATCACACAGAGCAAAGGGAGCACACAGGGAAAAGAGAAAAATCCGCATTGTGCAAAAGAGGAGTGAATACATGCTGCCAGCGTGCAGATCCAGCAGACCAATGCTGAAGCCACTGCTGCCTGCCCTTTGCTCAGCCGGGGGCCCTGCGCTCTGCTAGTGCCCAATCAGACAGGAAGCAAAAGGAAAGACTAAATAATGGGGGATCTTGAAGCTCCTTTTCCAACTTTTATTTAGCTTTGACTCTGCACAGAGCCTTAGCATAGCATACTCTAGCCTTCAGGGAGGGGCACAGGAACCTCCTGAACACACCGCGGCTCGGGGTCAGCCCTTATCTCCTGTGCCTTGTGCTCTGCCCCTGAAATGCTGTTGGGGATATTTGGCACAAAGACCCTGAAGAATAGAGAAAGCCCCTGCCCCACGGCTGCTCGGAGGCTCATAGGTCGCTGCTGCAGTCGCGGCACAGGATCTCGTCGTTGTCAGGGATAAAGCCTTTCCCGACCAGCGAGGTCTTGCAGCGGGCACAGTTAAAGCAATTATGGTGCCAGTGACGGTCCTCAAAGGAGACATATTTTCCACCGCCAAAGCCTACAGGAGAGACAAAGTGCAGGGTTAAAACTGCTGGAGAAACTAGGACAAGCTTCCTGCACACAAATGAGTCTTGGCCTGCTTTGCTCCAAACCAGGTGTTCAAACACATCCCTGCACCACGGCACCCAAGTACACCACTGTATTAAATACATCTGAAACAGGCATCCCTGCTCTACATGGGGCGTGAAGAGGAACAAAACGATTTCACACTGGAATTCTGCAGGGTCGAGACCCCTGGGCCAGAACCACCATTTCCTCCCCAGAGAGGAGCACAGAGCAAAGCGAGTGACTGCGACAGACAACCGGGCTGGCGGGAGCTCCCAGCGGCGTCGCCTGGAGCGGCCCCTTCCGAAGTACACGTTAACGAAACTCTGGGAAAAGGCCCCCTGCCATCAGCCGTGCCCAGGCTCCCGCAGACCCCGGGGGCAGCTTCCTCCCCGGCTGGGCAGCGGTTAGACACATGGGCTGTGACCCCTGTTTTCCTGGGACAGCGACACACTGACAAGCACCAGACAGGAAGCAGGGTGCCCCGGAGCCGGAGCCGCTGTCCCCAGCTGGAGTCGCAGTCTGAGTCACCGGCTGGGCTGACTCATGGCTCTGTCTGTCTTCCCAGGAGCAAGAGACGAGTCGCAAAGGGAGAGGTCAAGTGGGGGAGGACAGGGACGAGGCCAGACCCTCTCAGGGGTTTCCGCAAAAGAGTGAGCCCTGCTTCCCCCATCCGTGGTGGTCATGGCAGGCCCAGACTCCCCTGCAGCAGGGCTGCAGCCCCAAACAAGGCAAGCTAGAGACATGAGATCACACTGCGAGGGCTCATCTTGGGAACCTTTACCCCTGCACACCTGGGGAGAGGGCATTCCCCTCAAGAGGGCACAGCTCACAGCTTTGAAGATGTAGATGAAGGAATACAAGCAGCCCTAGGACCGCTACAACAGAGCGATCCTTTCTCATAGGGTCCCTGGGCAAGCAGCTGCTGCTGTTTCCCTGGGGAACATGTCGAGGGCACCTTTCACTCACCAGCACTTGTCCCTGGGAAACCCAAAGTGCCTAGTGACACATAAGCATGGTGGAGAGCTATGCCAGCACCACATGGGCCTGGGTCACGTGTGAACTCCAGAGGGCAATTTCACCCAGAGAAGTCATCACCCAACTGGAAACAGGGCAGGTAAGTCACGTCCTGCTCCAGGGCCACTCGGCATGCTCACCTGTGATGGGCTTTGTGCAGGCACTGCACTTCTTGGCATAGAGGTTGCCAAAGCACTTAATGCAGTACGGGTTGTCATCCTGGGAGGTGAACTGCTGGCCAGCCAGGGGAGTCTTGCAGCCCGTGCAGACGAAACACTCCTTGTGCCAGGGCTCATCCCGGTAAGTCACTCCTCCCTTCGTCAGGGACTGTGGGAAGAAAGAGCGCACTGGTGATGCACAGGCACTGTGGGAAGTGGGCAGCAGCACATAAACAGCAGTTAGCAGAGCAGGGGTGCTGTGTCCAAACCTCACTCCTGCTGGGCCCGCGTTACTGACTGCAGGCAGAAGCTGGGCCATGCGAGAGTCCTCTGCTCTCCCTTTCTAGTTAAGGGAGATGCAGCCACAGATGGGGTGCAGAACAACACAGGAAGCAACCCCCAGCACGCTTACAGCAGCCTTTCATGGCAGGAGTGGATCAGAGACCTTGGAGCCTTTGGGCTATCAGGCCACACATACCTTTTTGCAACGAGTGCAGCGAGGAGCAAACTTGCTCTCATAACAGGGGACACAGTAATAATCCTTATTGTCTGGGATGAAGGATCGTGACCCAATAGGCTGCTGGCAGCTGCTACATATGAAGCAATGTTCATGCCAGGTTTGTCCATTGTACTCCAGCTTACGGGATCCTGCAGAGAAAGCCATTCTCAGTGTGACATGAGGGTGCAGCACAAGACACACAACTGGGACATGAGGAGGCTGCACAGGATACACTGCACTCCCGCGCACCAGGCTCTTTGCCTGCCTTCCCAGTCACCAGATGGCACGGCAGAGCAGGGGCACCGCAGGGAGCTGGAGGTGGGCGCCCAGGCCCACCCCTGCAACAGCGCAGGGAGGGCTGCGGGAACATGCCCAGCACCGGCACACAGGCCGCGGCAGAGAAGCCTGCGGTAACCTACAGCTGAAGATGGTGCAGGAATGGCCAGGCAAAGACACACCTTTGCCTCAGGCTGTCTCCAGGGACACTCACATGCCTTCAGTCATTCCCTCTCAGCAGCACACATCAGAAAATAACCCAGGAAATCCTTTGCTATCTCCTCCCCATCTTTTGTGGGGAAGTAAGCTGGGAACAGACACAGGGCTGCTGTGGTGACCGCAGCTCAAGATTCTGCTGTTTTGCCAGCAAAGCGAAGTGCCCAGCCTGCTCCATGCAGTATCACCTCAGCTCTCTGGCTTGCTCCCCTGCATTGAATTCTGCCACCTCAGGCAGCACTGCTGGAACAATGGCAATGCTTGGCTCTGCACGCTCCTACCTGGCATGACCGTCTTCTCACAGGCAATGCATTTTGAGGAGAACTCATTGCAGTAGCAGTCGTTGCACAGCAGCTCCTCGTCCTGGCAGGTGAATGGCTCGTCAGCCAGCGAGCGGTCACAGCGGAAGCAACGAAAGCAATGCTCATGGTAATGGCGATCCTCATAGTACAGTTCCTGAGGAAGACAGCAGATGAGGAGGACAGGGGACCAAATGGACTAGGGGACAGGCCTGCTGGCCACAGGGTCCCATACTCACTCTGCAGTCATGGCCGATCAGCTCTTTGCACTCATCACAAGTGTTGGCAAAGTGGGCATCATAGCAGGGGATGCAATATGGGCCATTGTCCATCTGGATGTACTTGCGCCCATACAAGGACTCCTTGCAGTTGTCGCAGTCAAAGCACTCTGTCATGGTGCCAGTCTGAGGGCCTCCTTCACCTGCTAAGAGATCAACAGAGATGCTGGGTTAGTATCGGCTTACACTGCTCGAGATGTCCCCTGCACAGCCCTGCCATCTCCAGAGGGCAAGGTCTGCAAATCCCTGCCAAAGACTGCACTGTATGGCACTGGGCCAAGCAGTGCCCACCATCAGGACAGGACAGAGACCCGAGCTGCAGCATCTGTTCCTCGGCTGTAGGCACTTCTAGGCACTTGCTGCATACAGTCAGGGCCTGTGACGAATCTTCAGATTTATACTCGAGTACAACAACTGGAGCACCAATAGCCATCGCTCAGAGAAACCTAGACACGTAAGTATGCAAATGAACTTCTTACTGTCTGTCTCCTTGCTGGGAAGCAAAGGGTAAATTATGACCAAAAGAGAGAAAAATCTTTTTGCAAGAAAAATTTTGATTTAGAATTTTTGTCCTAAAACAGGTCCACATTGGTGTGCACCCACTTCTGCATGGGAGGGACAGCCACCTTGAGGGCGATCCATCTAACAATAACCTCTTCACAGACCCAAACTCAGCTGTGACTATGCCCCTGGACTGACAGCAGAATTCTTCCTGACAGCATGTGAGCCAGTGCTTTGCCTGATCTAGTTTTCAGCATCTTGAATTCTGGAACATCTCCAGAACTTTATAGCAACTGCTCCACAAGGAAGCAGAAATCAGGCACCCCATGCTATGGCCAGCTATGAAGATACATCCTAGCGAATCACTCTGCACATATTGCTCCAACTACAAACATTCTTGAAGGAGAAAGTTTGGGGGAGGGTATGTGCTTTACATGCAATAGAGGTGTTCTAGTTTTGCACACAGGACATCAGGCATGTCTCATTGCCCCCATCTCCCTGCAAGATAGGAGGCTTGTGGAGATATTCCAGACAAACTATTTCACCTTATCTGGAACATTAATTCCAGAATAAAAGTATCGTCCTTCTGTTCAGTTTAACTTGCTTATTCCTAAATATGGAATTGTTCACTTGCAAATTCACACCCTTGTTTAATACCAACTTGCTGTCAAGTGTAGACAAGCCCACGAAATTACATCTAAGCAGTCAGCTGCAGAGAGCCACACTCTGCAGTTTTCTTTGTGAAACCACCCACTTCAGAAAGAGCTATTACGGCATTACGGCACAATCTACAGTTTGGTGCTTAATGGGGCAAGGAGCTCGCTGCCGCCTTCTGCGCCTCCCTCCGCACGGTCTCCTCAGCTGCAGTGGGTCATTTTTCTTGCACTGGAAGGCAGCCCACGGGCAGGAGCTGATAGGACGGCTCTGACTCACCGCAGCAAGCTCACCAGCACTATTCTTGGTCTGGCTACGCAGCGCCCAGCTGTTGTCAGGCCTGGTGAGTGCTGAGATAGGGCTGCTGGTGAATACATCTAGTGTTCCCACATGGCTACGTGACCAACAGGCTGGGAACAAAGTCCCTTTTCAGACGCTCTCCTTAACCAGCC